GATATTAACATAGGTCGGAAAACTCCTCCAACAAAATAAATAAGTAAATTGGCAAACTAAACTAGCAAAATTTATCTGTCTTTCAATTAATCATCACAAATATACAACAAAGTCATTTTCAAATTCGAATCAACATACCTTGGTGTGATTCTGAAAACCAGAAAATCATCCAACGGTAGATATCAAAAGGACTCACATTACTAACATACGTATGACACATCCTATCAAAACCTAAGCGTCACTTTGCCGGCAGGTTTAGTCTAAATTATTATAATTATTAAATGCAGTATGAAATTTACTTGACTTGCTTCTCTACAGTGAGTCTTTTACGAGTACGTGGCAATTGGCTAAAAGTTCAATTTCAAATGTCACAATTCTCGGCCCACAATAATTTAGTTCCAAAATTTGACCATTCAACCCCCCGCGCTATTTGAAAATTTTTAAATTTTAGTTCCGTTGTGTTTTAACTTAATGATAATTTTATTTAATAATTTATGAGAATTTTTTATTAGGAGATTTTTAAACTGTAAGCTTTGTGCATGTGATGTTACAAAAACGTTTTTTTTAATTAAAATTTAATGTTTATAATAGATAATATAACATTTAAAAAGTGACAAATCTTTAAATAAATAGAAAGTAATAAAAATTAATAAATGATGATTTTTTTTGAGGGAGAATATCAACTTAGGATTATAATTTTAAAAAATTACGAGAGAATCAAAATGTTCAAAAGTTCTAATACACCAAGAAAAATATATTTTGTAGATTGAAATATATTTAATTTTGTAAAAGAAAAATCTTATAAATTATCCATTATCGACATTATATATCAACTAGTAGAAAAGATAATATGATTTAAAATATTTATTTTTCTGGTTGATTTTACTTAATTTAGAGATTTTTTAGGTTTGTTTATTTTTTAACTTTATGTGATAAAATCGAAAAGCCAAAAAATTTGGCTTTTATCTCAATACTAAAAAATTTGAATTAATAATATTTTAATTTGTCAACTGTATCTCTATCAAATTTATATAGTATTCTATTTTTATCAAAACCTTTACCTTGTATGTTTTTGTCTTCTTTATTTATCATAGCCATATAAATCAAAATCAACCATCAAAGACACTCGACTTGCTTGGAACAATCGATGAAATGTTCATAAAATAATTGTAAGACCTAATTGAGAATTAACTCTTTCAATGATCTAATTAATTTAGTTGTTTTTAATTTTTTTTTTTTATAATAAATTTTTACTTACTATATAAACACAATGATATAACGTAGTTATCATAAATTTTTATATCTTTATTTTATTTTGATTTTCATAATTTATAATAACATAGTTATAATGCAAGTAAAAATATAAAATTAACTTTATAAGGACATATGTGTCAAAATACCAATAAAAACAGACAATGCAATGCTTATGATTAGACATATCGACCAATCTTATATATCTAGACAAATTCAACAATTTTAGCTTTCAGGTAAAAAAACAAACACCAACTTAATTCAATAAATGATTAACATTTGGCCACAAAATCATCTCACAATTTTATGTTGTTTTTGTTCTTTAAACAAGAACATGAAAACTTATTCAACCAATCACAAGCAATCCAGATTACGTAAATATGTTGTTACCTAAAAATATCTAAATAAGTTCATCCCAACTTTTTTTTTTTTTTATCAATATTCATAAAACCACTTTATTTGTTAACATAAACTTTTTTTACTATAATTATAAATAAAATCCATTAAAATACATCTATGAATTTTTATTTTCAGTAGCTGAAAATATATATTTATAAGGTATTGTCATATTGTATGCCTAAAATAGTTAGTTAAGCCAATTTCCAAGTTGGTGAGCTACAATCTTTTGTTATCAAAATTGATGTTTTGAAGGTGACCTTAATAAAAAGTTATATTTACTCAAAATAACAACACGTTTATCCCTTTTAACCTAAATTTGGAATTAACTATGATTAGGTACGTGATAAATATATTTTGATCATGCGATCGCTTCCTAAGAACCACATCGGTTTTTATTGAAACTCCTATCATGGGTTTTTTTGTAAAAGTCTTTGGTACTTTTATATGAGTAAGTCTAACGCCACCACACATACCAAAAGAATTAGAACATGACTCTCTATCTAATCATAAAATTATCGTCGGCAAATAACTTCCATATTGGCTATAGGAAGTAGTCAACGTTCTGACATTAAAATACACTTAACAACTTTTTTTCATCTAAATAATGGTTTAATGACATTTTCACACCCATAAATTTTTAAAATATCATTTTATTATCCAAATTTATATTATAAAAATTGACAGAGAGCAAATTAGGTCCAAAGCCTCCATGCTATTGAGGTTTTTGAAAAGGGAAGGCTATTAAGTCTTTTAGTAATGGAATATTAGATTTTAATGGTTGAGATTGATCGCAATTTGACTCGAGAGGGACGACTATACGAACCTTAATCGCCCGATTGCCAATGATTAGTGGGGTCGATGAGAGTAGGGTTTGAGGATTTTTAGTGAGTGATGATCGAAGAAGAGAATGATGGTGGTGTGAGGTCATAACGATGCTAAAATCGGAAGCGAAATATAAATTTGGGTAATAAAATGATATTTTAAAAGTTTATGGGTAGAAAGGTGCTATTAAAGTATTATTTGGGTGGGAAAAGTCTTTTACTCATTCAAAAACTTTGTTGTTGTTTGCTGCCACAAATTGCATTTTTGGGCTAAGATGAGCACACAGTTATGTAGATCAAAATATAAAGATTGTTTTTCCGTAAACGATTCGTCGAAAGAGTTGTCGAGGGTTAAAGTAATCCGACGGTAATTCTATTTTGGAATTTTATATTAAATTAATTAATTGTTTAAAAAATTAAATTAGTGGTTATGTAGGTGGAGTAATGTTATATTTACATCACTTTTTTATATAATTTTAATTACATCATGATGTGGTATATGTCACAATCACACAAATTTATAATAGAATTTGTGTGGTCGTAGCATATACCACGTCATGATGTTTACAAAATAGTGTAAAAAAATAGTATAAGTGTAACATTACTCTATGTAGGTGAGCCAAGCCCACCCATACCCACTACAAACCCAATGAGTTTACCTAAACTTAGGATGTTCGTAGGTTCGAAACCAATCATTTTTACTAAACTCAATCCAATTTAAATATATATTGGATTTTATATTTTTCAATCCAATCCAACCCAATTGTGAATTAAAATCCGTTTGATTTCAATACATAGAAAACTAGAATACGATCCAATACAATCAAATTTATACAAAATTAAAATCCAATCAAATTCAATCATATCAAATTTAAGAAATATTGCATCCAATTAAATAAAAAATAAATAAGTAATGTTATGTCCACAACCCAATCTTACATCCCCTGACGTGCCAGCTTGTAGACTTAGCATTATTAAAAATAAATAGATTTCATCTAAATCAAATTTGATTATATATCCTACTATTTTTTTTTTTTTTGTCAAAGTTTGATTATTTCATAATTAAAAAATGCATACATCAGATAACTATTATATTATTTAAACATTTGGAGATGATCATATTCAAAATTTTAAACAAATAATTATATTATATAGAGAGATTTAAGAAAATTGCATCTAATAGAATGGAAGATAAATTTATTTAATCTAAATCCAATTTTAATTATATATTCTATTAAATTTTTTGTCAAAGTTCGATTATTTCATAAGTAAATAATTTAGACATTAGAAAACTATTATATTATTTAAACATATGGAAATGATCATATTCAAGGTTTTAGACAAATTTTTGTTATAAAGAGACATAAGTTGATTGTCCATTACAAAGATAAAAATAACAAATTTAAATAATCTTAATAAAATAAATCTATCAAGTATTAAAACTAAAAATTGATTGTCACATAATAACAATTAATAAAATAGACTAAAAATTGCAAATTGAAAGGCATAGTTGGATTGGAGCGGTTTGGAATTGGATCTACTTAGAAAATCCAATAACCGATCCAATCTCATTGGATATCTTACCTAATCCAGTTAAATCCTCAAAACCGATCAAAATGTGATTGGGGTGAACCCATTGGATTGGATTATAAACACCCCTATCGAGGGGTGTTAAAAAAAATACAAAAACAGAACCGAATGGATAATAGAACCAAATTTTCGGTTATCTCAAAAACCGATTCAGATTCAGTTAAAAAAAAATAAAAAACCGAATTTTCGGTTCGGTTACCAGTTTTGGAGAATATGAAATTTGGTTTAACCGAATATGGTTTATTATAAAAATATTAAATTAAAATAAAAAAATCCAGTTTATTATAAAAAATATTAAATTAAAATAAAAAATAAAAAATTTCGGTTTATTATAAAATATTAAATAAAAAATATATAATATATTAACTATTAAATTAAAACCGGTTTTTCAGTTAACAGAAAATCGGTTTTCCCTTTAACCGAAAAACCTGTTTTTCCCTTAACCGGTTTGGTTTCGGTTTAGGAAAATTCTTGAATCAAAAAACAGTTTCGGTTCATAAAATCGGTTAACTAGTTTTTAACATCTCTACCCTTACCTAAACTTAACCTGATCCTTAATAAGGTGGGGTGAACCCAACCAAAACGATCGCTTCAATGGATTTTTTTGCCATTCTACATCAAATGTGTTGAAGTGGGAACCTAATATCTTTGATTGAAGAGTTGGGAAAAAGTGGAGAAGATTCTCAAATTTTATCTTAGAGGTTTGAGAAAAGACCATTATAACCTTATAAGATTAAGAGATGGCTAACATAGTTAGGTCAATACAAGGTCAAAGCCCAAAGTGTAGTACTTGATGTATTTATGAAATTATAGGGTTATTGTGTGATTATTGTGTGATTAGAATCTCTTAAGCTGGGATGTCCCTGCCCTTTTAAGTAAACCTCAGGGGAGGTTATGATATTCTTCATCATTTAATTTCATTTTAATTATCAAAAATTTCACTATTGTTATTTACTCAAAACCCTACAAAACCCTACAAACAACCGCCAAAATTCACAGAAAATTCCAAGCTTTCTCATGTCTTTCTTTTAATTTTTCTCTTAATTTCCTTCTCCCCAAACACCCACGATGAACTCGCTTCGTCGAGCAGTCGCACAAATCGCGTATTCACAGTCCACAACAAAACGCACCGTTTTACGTCCGACGATCACGGCTCTTCTTGCTCAATCTTACTCCACTAAACAGTGGAGAAATGCCAAACCAGCAACAGCCGACGTTTGGCCGCGGCCGAGTGAAATTCCGTTCCAAACGAAGGTGGCCAACTCGGTGAGCCTGATTGGCCACGTGGACTCGCCGGTTCAGTTCGAGACTTCTCCTGATGGCAAGCATTGGGCTGGCACTGTCATCAACCAACGCGCCACTTCTGATTCTCCCCAACTTTGGTATTCCTTCAATTTGAACCTCTGTTGCTATTGTTTCCTTTTGGGTTTGTTTGTGTTTTAGACAAATTAGGGGACTTCATTTTAATTTGCCATAAACATTATGAAATTTTAGGGAGGTTTTTGACAGGTTTACCTGAATTTTAGCCTAAACTTTGGAGTTCAATGGAGTTTTCTTTAAATTTTATGCAATTTCAGCAAGGTTTTTAACCATTTAATTTTTTTTTTAATAAAATTAAGCGTTGATTTACTCAGTTTGCGTTGGAATTATAAACATACGTGGAATAGAAATCTATTTTTTTTTTTTAAATTTTGATGGTGTGGCCGGTTAGATAATTGTTGTAGATAGTACTTTATTAGGTTAGCCTTTGATGGGTCTGTTTGATTTTAGATAAATTCAGGGGAGCTGAATGGAAATATTCTTCTTTGGGTAAATTTTATTTACGCCCAGATTTTTGACCTAATTGCAAATGGTACCCCTGAAAATTAGGCAGAAAAAATTTGAAAGAGGTATTTGGTGATTTAGAAATCAAGTTTCTGATAAGTTTTCAATAAATTTTCAGAGAGGTCTCTAGGCTCTAATGATTTTAGAGGTAGTTTATCATGTGCGTTTTAGTTAATTTCAAATTTGGTGTGGTGCATCTCATATTTTGGACAAGATTCGTTGGAGTTCAATGGTGAATTTCTTTGATTAAATGAAGTTCATTTGATGTCTGTTTAGGATTCCTGTAGTATTTGAAGGTGATTTGGCTCACATTGCTGCTTGTCATTTGAAGAAAGATGATCATGTACATATAGCTGGGCAACTCACTGCGGATCCACCTTCTCCTATTGCAAGTCAACGTGCCAATGTCCAGGTAAGAGATGAGTTTTTGCTGTATGTAGTGACTTAATTATTGCTTAAAAAATTTAACTAAAGTTATGGTTTTAGGGTGTAAGAGAACTTACTCTTTGATTCCCTCGGTTGTCTCATCTAGTTGGGGAATGATTTGGTTGGACTGATTATCTTTTAGGAAAAAACTTATAGTGTATTAGAAGTTCAAGGTAGGCTTTCATGTCTTTTTTCTTCTAGCAGTTTCTTATTTAGGAGTCAAAAAATTTTGTAGAAGGAATAATCCAAAAATCTATAACATATGTGCTACCTAACACACTCAACTACTTTTTCTGGCAATGATATGATTGCTGCTGTAATAATCTAGTTAGGGTCTTTTTTATAGAGCTGCCTCTTGAGGTAGGTAACTCTTGCTACTCCAATTATTTTCTGCTTGTATATGAAACAAAGAAGAACCTTTGTTACTAATAAAGTAGAACTTTGACTATGAAGTCAAAGAAGCAGTCTACCAACCATCAAATAAATAGAAGAAAAGGAATCAACTAGCTAGTAAAAAACCCTCAATCTATTCATAAGATAACAGCACCCCAATAATGTTTGCGAAGGCTCTATTTTTGGTTACTGTGTAAAATACTCAATTTTTTTTATCTACTGTGCATTAACAAAGGTCCCCAACCAGGATGCTATGCTAGATCAAGTCATTAGAAAACACTTTAGTTTTCTCGTACGAATCTTGAACGCACACCTCTTGAATCCTCATCAACCTCCTTATACACATCTTGTGCTCAATTTCTTAATCCTTATATCTATATATGTGGCACATGCTTGAACAATTGGAGATGGTTTCTTGTGTTTTATGATGATTGCATCTTCTTCTTGTTAATTTGGTCCTTAATTTTTTCTCAGGTCTTGATTAATAGAAATTGATAGTTTTTGAAGGCATGAATCTCTCTCACCTACCCTCTTCTCCTCTTCTCTTATTGTGTATCTTTATCTTTCATTTTCTTCATTCTCAAAACTTTCTGCTTGTTGCTTGTTATTTGTGTATCCTTAATTATTAATGACAATGCCTTTTCTTGGTTTCTAAACCCATAAATTCTAATTGAGCCTGGCTCTTTTTCCTTAACAACCACTTAACGTTAGGTATGCTAACATCAAAGAAATCTAATCTATTTTATTGCATTTGAGAAATTCCAGCTGGAAGTTCTTGGCAGTTTTTAAGTATAGAATAACATATATAAGGAAGAGAAGAAGAAAAGATAGAAGGCTGGGAAAGTAAAAGTTGGTCGCAGTATGCAAACAACCCTTCTTATCTATATCTATCTATGAACAGGTCTGACCCACTTCAAGGAGACTAATGTGATATAGCATTAAAATGGACAGCAATAACATGAGTAAAAAGGATAGGCTACTGGCATATAAGTTTATGTCCATATAACAAATAAACGTTACTCTTATAACAAAATGTAAATATGAAAAATTCAAGAACTCGACTCATCCTCAGGCTGGAGCTTAGAGATCAAACATCTAAGCTTAGACAAAAAGAAGTGAAGGAAGAATGAGCTAGAGGTTTAGTGAGGTATCTGATTTTTGGCTCACATAGAGTGCAACAATATATTTCTCATCACTACCATCAAATCATTTATGTTTCACACTATCATGAAATACTAGATTACTATTGATAAAGATAATACCTTAACTGTCTCAATGCATTTCCATCATACCAGGAAACTTTATATCTTTGAATTTATTTATTTATTCTCTGTTTGGGCAGTTTTAGGTTATCATCTTGTGTAGGCTTTAACATCCAAGGTTTGATCATGTTAGGTTATGGTCCATAGTGTCCATTTTGTTGATGTATCTTATAAAAAAGGGAAGCCCTTTTCATCTCAAAAACAAGAAGTGGGAACCAAAGATCATTCAGGTAAAACCATAATTTCTGGTTCATATCCCATTTGTCTGTTTGTCACCTTATGTGGAAAAATATGGGCTTTCAAATTACTTGTTTTGTTGCTATGCTTCAAAGTTTCTAGAGGGATATTTGTAATCGATAATCTTGTAGATTTTTTTTTTTTTTTTTTTTTCTTTTTCCCCCTCCCAAAAAAACTTTAATGATAAGCTGTGAGATTGATTAAATGAAAAAGATGTAACCAATGAAGGGCGTAATTGCTTAGTAAAATTAGGAAGTCTTTCAAATATCAAACAGGGAAATGAAGTTAATGAAGGTACTGACAGCCATTACCCTGTTAGCTTGTTCCTAAGCAGATAGTGGGAGGGATAATATGGCTCAGTGATAGCCTGCTGTAGCTATTCATATGTAATTTCTCATTGTCGGGCTTTTCTCTGCAATTATTCTATCTTAGAAATTGGTTATTGTCATCGTTGTATGACACCTTAATTTTACTTGGTGTTAATTACCTTTTTTCAGCCAGCACAAAGAACGATAGTAATTCAGCTTCGAGTCCCTGGGATAATCTCCTTAATAATCCAGAACTGTGGTGGGATTACCGTAGTCAGAAGCGCAGTGGATTGGTGATGACCCTTGTATTTTGAAATTTCTTCATCATTTGAGTAACTATATTAAAATCTTTGATACCCTTAGCATACTTTAATAGGTAAAATCAGGACACCCTGACTTTAAACGTAAGGATGGTGGCCTTTCACTCTGGCTCACTAAGTCATCAGGATGGGTTTTGTCTCAACTTGATGGAATAGAGTTTGATGTTCAGACTCCTAAACAAAAAATTGCGAAGGAAGGTAAAAGTCTGAACTTTTCTTATATAGTGAATATTTTTTTATTGTATTTCCTACATGCTGACTTATTTCTGTCCACTGTTTAATTGAAAAGTTTTTCTCAAAACTTGAAGGAGTCGATTCTAATGTTCAGGCTCCTAAATTAAAATGCGCTATATGAACATTTCTTAAATATCTGAAATTTTTATTTTTATAATATATTGGCATATTTTAGTCTAGTATTTAATTTAAAATGTTTTTGTCTGACTTGACGGATCGGAACCAGATTTTCAGACTCCTAAATCGAATTATCCAAAACGACGGAAAGGTATGAACCTTTTCAATTTTCTGACTTATTTTTCTTGTGTTCGTTATATATTGGCATACTTTACTATATTTAATCTAAAAATCTTTACTTCTCTACATGATTTAATTTATTGCGGCTGGTAAGTACTAAATTTCACAGCCAAATTTATGATACTATTGAAATTTAAATGAAACAATTTGGAACCAGGTTACTTACTGTTGTTTTTGATTGTTTTGTGTGGTAGTCTAATGTGTCAATAATTTGTAGAATTCCTCGAACTCCATAACTTTCTTAAATTAAAACATTGGCTTCTTTATTATATGTGTCTTTTTGTTTTCTTTTTGCTTTCCCCTCTGCAACTGCTCAACCCTTTTCTAAAGCTAGTGCAAATAATATGTGAGATATGAGCCTAATTATAAATATAATCCTCAATTGCAGTCCCTTAGGGGGCATTTGATAAATGTGGAAAAATACTGAGAAGATTAGCATGGTTGTGGTGCAAGGATAACATACCTAAACCAAGTGAAGGTCTAATTTTTTTATTCTAAATATATATGGGGGGATGTAGGGATGTTCTGTTTGGCGTACAGAGTGACTAATAGTACAGATTGAGTACTTATCCTGGTACTAGAAAAATTCTAAGTCCTAACCCTCTTATAAATAAAAAATTTGGCTTTAAAATTTTGAATAGAGTAATCCTTTTGTGCAAAGCTGGAATTTCTTTTATATCTTTTATGATTATTGAAAGACACATTTGCTGTCTTAATTTTTCTTTACTAGAAAGAAAAAGTTCATGATACTTTATCATCAATACATGATAATTTAAAATGTTTTCTCAGTTGTTGGCCGTACTTATAAGTAAAATATGGCATCACCTCTGAGTTGGAGAATTTCTGCTTGATAAATGAATGAATGCCTTTAAGAAAAAAGAAAAAGAGGTTTCAATGTGGAGCAACATAATGTTAAGTTAAAATATCTATAAACCAAGAAATATCTATTCACATTGTAGCTTTTTTTTTTGTTGGTTTTGTGTAAATGGACATTTGTAGCCTAATAAGGCGATTTTCTAACTTTCAGGAGATGAACCTTGGAAAGACTTGACGGAAAATCCAAAAAAGTGGTGGGATAATAGATTGGATAAGGTAAAATTTTATATTTAATCGGCTGTAAGGTCGTATTTTCCGTGATTCACTCTTTTTTTTTTTTTTTGTTTTTTTTGGCTCGCTCATATGCATTGTTACTATTCTTTTCAGTTGAGCAAAAATGCTCCTGACTTTAAGCACAAGGAGACTGGCGAAGGACTATGGCTTAATAGTGCACCAGATTGGGTGCTACCAAAGTTGCCTGAGCCTGTAAAGAGTCAAAAAGCTGCTGCTTTCGGCAAGAGAGATACACTACTGTCTTGACTCGTATCAGAACTGGAGATGAATTTGTAAGTCATCACTTTAGATCGTACATTCTTTAGTTCTATGTATTTTCTTTTGTCCGGAAAGAAAATGATACTCGCAAGTTCCAGATGATTAACTGCTTTTGCAATCCATGGATGATATAAACATCTTAATTATCAATCTGTTTGGGGTTTTGAATCTCAATTGACTTTTTTGCCCCTCATCACCTAAGGTTCAATATTTTAAAATGTCTTTTAATATTTATTTTTCATAGCACAAACAGTGAATCTCGTAAATTTCATTATTATTTTCCAAAAATATCTCAGATGTACGACTACTTATATTATGAATAATATTTTGGGTACTAATAGATGAGTACTAATAGATGAGTACTAATATGTGTACTAACTAAAGTATAGTATCCGTATTATACGCATAATACGGGTACTATGCTTTAGTTAGTACACATATTAGTACTCATTCATTAGTACCCATAGCATCACTCCTCTCAAAGAGGCATACTTCTGTTCTGGCTTGACCATGGTCACCTTCGGCCCTACAGAATTTTTCATCCTTTAGGTTTCACGAGTTTAGTAGAAATTTTCCTTTATGTTAAACAGTGTAAGATATTTTTGTCTTCCTGACAAAAACATATCATCCATAATTGTACTGGACCCTAGTGTTATATATAGTGTTGAAGGAGGTTACATTATTTTCTTATAGGCTTATAGCAATTCATCCAACTGATATAAATATCAACTAGTACCATAGAATTTTCTAATTTATTTTTGTAAAGTCTGCCACATTATTTGTTTGGTAAACCAACGATACCACTTGTTTTTTTGAAGGATTATTAATGTAGGCTCATATAGAGAACGTCTTATTTTTTCAACATCCAATGTCTCGGAAAGATCTTTTGGTACTTTTGATAATTTAAAAGGCTCTATGATAATTTACCTGATGTCTTATGAGGATCTGTAATACTTTTTCAAAACACAGGAATTTGAAATATTGGTTGATTATTTAAATAATTTTTTATATGACTCAAACTCTTTATTATAAATTTATAAATAGTTTGTTCATAAAAATAAAATTTTTATTCTTTAAATATAAATTAAAGAGTGAGTTTGACTCTCTACATCTAGATAGTCAAATTTCAATCTCTATCCCAATTTTATTTAATAAATTACAAGTTTTTTTGTATTTTATTATTAATTCTCTTTCTTATTTATTAAGTCTAATTTAAAGAGTTTATTGGATTTGAATACAAATTTTATTCTTTATATTTAGAAATTAATAAAGTTACTCTTTATTTATATAAAATATGCTCTTTAAAATAAAGAACACTGGAGATGCTCTTACATAGTTATGTTAGATTGTATACGATAATAGCCCACTTTTAATTATCTCCTTATAAAAGGAGAAAATTCAAGCATGAAGAGAAAAAAAAAAAAATTAAATAAATGTTACACCCAATATAAGTACCAAAAGCACAAATTAAAAAAAATAAAAATAAAAATCGAATAACCTTTCTAGCAAATTACAAGCTCTTTTAACTTATATTACAACTGATCATTACTATATATATATAATTATATAGTAATACATATACACATCAAACTAGAAATTAATACGGAAAACTCAATAGCTCAGCTCGGAGTCAACTCAAGCATTTTGAAGTTGGTCCAGAGCGGCAACAAATGCAAATATAACTCAATCCTAATTAATCGAGTCAAACCATTCTCGACGGGAATTAGCATGAAGAAGACATAGTTGATAAAGTTGTGGAAGATGAAGTTCTTGGTGTTGGAAATGAATGCTTCAACACAACGGTTGGGAGAATACTTTTTTTTCTCCTCTCTTGTTCTTTGATTAATTCTCCTGCGAATACCTCTATCTTCTCTAGATTTGTGCTTTCCACCATCTTTTTCCCTTTGAAAAGAATTGATTCATATGTGTTTTTTGAAAACATTTCCTCTATTGCACATAATATTTCTGTTTTCTTGTTTGTTTTCATCGCTTTCTCTAGCTTCCCTTGCTCGCTCTTCGCTATTATCCCATTTGCCTGCAAAATTGTTTGGGACAAATAGATAAAATTATCGGACAGATATAGTAGTCTTAACACTGATTTACAAATAAAGGTAAAATTGTAATTATACATTAGCATTTTCATGAAGAATATTAGTACCTGAATTCTGACATAATTGCTTGTCCCACTTTGAGCAAATGCCATAGAAACAGCTTGATCAACCTATAAATTAAGAAAACAAAGATAAGATTTGGTTATTAATCAATTACAATCAGGACAAGAAGGTTATTTAATTATTAATTAATTTATTCAAGATTCTATTTCATCAATTTATTCTAATAAAAATACTGAAATATACATAGTGGTTGATGAAAACTTTTATGATTGTCCCCCCAACTACCATACATTAAGTACATTTTATACAGTCCCCCATAGTAATTAACTTATTGGACCATCACAATTAATACCCATTTTTTATTCACAAAATTGTTAAAAAATTAAAAAACTGTTTTGCAAAAACATTTTTGAAAAATAGAATTTTTTTTTTTTAAAGAAATATAAATGCCCATCTCTTGTAAGAGATATTTTTAGTTCTAAATTTGAAGACCCCATTTTTTTTTTTCAATAGAAAAATAATTTTTTTGGTTTAAGTAAAAAAAGAAAATTGAATAAAAAAGATAAATGGAAATTATTTTTACCATATCCGAAGCTCCTTCACCAGCAATTCTAACGAATTGTGACGGCAACAGACTCCTTTTCGACCCAACGCCGTAATCCGACTCTCCGTTACCCAACGACACTACCACGAGATCCTCGACGCCGTTACAAAACGGGAACTCCAGTTTATTATTTAACACGTGCGTAATAGCGGCAGCCGTCGGGTTATTCATCGCAATGCCGCCATCGACGGCCACAATCTTCGTCCTCTGGTCAACGGACTTCATCTCCACGGCCCCAGTCACCGTTGGATTAGCAGCCGTAGCCAAACAAACGTCTCTCATTTTGAAATCATAACCGTCCACTTCCAACGCGTCAGCGCGGGAAAACAAGAACGGCGCGCCCGTGGCGAGATCATAGCACGTGATCAGCACTGGCTTCACTGTATCCTTCAAAGTGTACTCGCCAAAAGTCTTCCGTAACAACTTCTCCACCTTAGCCGACCGGAGACACCGCCGGAGAATCCCACCGGACGATGATCGGAAAATATTCCGGCGATTCTCGATCATAAACTCAAGCGCTTGTTTAGCAGTGAACATTGGAGTACCATCTCTGCCACGTGTAAACAACAAAGCGGCGAGGATTCCTCCGGCTCCGGACCCCGCTACGACATCGAAGTAATCGGAGATACGAGCATTGGGGTTGCCTGATTTTTTGGACAGGAAAGATTCCAAGTGGGCAAGTGATTTCCCGGCAAGTATGCCGTCGGTGGCGCCGCCGCCATCAATGGAAAGGATTCTTACTTTGCCAGTCTTGACGGTTTTGTTATTGATTTTGTTTTGATGTTTGTGTTCTTCATTGTAGCCGAACAAAAACTTGTTTTCGAGAATGGAGAAGATCTCGTAACTGAGCTTGTCCATATCCATGTTATATTCAGCCATATGATTTCAAATAAAGATGAGAGATGAGAAATGGAAAAGCGAAGCTAAATGAGGTGGAGGAGAAGAGGGTGAGTGAAGATGAAGATGAGAAGGGGGAGTGGAAGTTATTTTATAGTGGGAAGAGTACGAAGAGAGGATGAATACTGTAGACATAAAGGAACATTCCTTGTATGGCGTTTAATCGGCGATTAGAAAGTTAGTGTTGAGAATGCATGCTTTCTTTTTTTTGACTGGCTTTATTTTAATAAAATACATGCTTTATTATATTAATAAATGGTTTGTTTTGGTTCAATTCTGTTTCCCTCCAATAGGGACATTATGATTAAATAAACGCCTCTATCAATATATATTTTACGATTCATCAACCTTTTTCTCTTTGCGTTGCTTGTACTAAATATTTAATTACTTATTTAACACTCTTTATTTATTAACAACCAACTTTTGTTTTAATTACATGCAAATCATAGTGTTTTAGTAACATTTAATATCTTATTTTACAGTGTCAATATATTGTGAATAAAGCCTATGATATCATAATAGTCTTACCTCAAACAAATAGCAACGTAGTGTGAGGGAGCTTCGGTGGGAACTGAGACCCACTTTTAAGTAGCTCAAGTGATAAGACGAACGTTGAGATGTGTAATACGGAAAACTCAATAGCTCAGCTCGGAGTCAACTCAAGCATTTTGAAGTTGGTCCAGAGCGGCAACAAATGCAAATATAACTCAATCCTAATTAATCGAGTCAAACCATTGTCGACGGGAATTAGCATGAAGAAGACATAGTTGATAAAGTTGTGGAAGATGAAGTTCTTGGTGTTGGAAATGAATGCTTCAACACAACCGTTGGGAGAATACTTGTTTTTCTCCTCTCTTGTTCTTTGATTAATTCTCCTGCGAATACCTCTATCTTCTCTAGATTTGTGCTTTCCACCATCTTTTTCCCTTTGAAAAGAATTGATTCATATGTGTTTTTTGAAAACATTTCCTCTATTGCACATAATATTTCTGTTTTCTTGTTTGTTTTCATCGCTTTCTCTAGCTTCCCTTGCTCGCTTTTCGCTATTATCCCATTTGCCTGCAAAATTGTTTGGGACAATTAGATAATATTATCGGACCGATATAGTAGTCTTAACTCTGATTTACAAATAATGGTAAAATTGTAATTATACATTAGCATTTTCATGAAGAATATTAGTACCTGAATTCTGACATAATTGCTTGTCCCACTTTGAGCAAATGCCATAGAAACAGCTTGATCAACCTATAAATTAAGAAAACAAAGATAAGATTTGGTTATTAATCAATTACAATCAGGACAAGAAGGTTATTTAATTATTAATTAATTTATTCAAGATTCTATTTCATCAATTTATTCTAATAAAAATACTGAAATATACATAGTGGTTGATGAAAACTTTTATGATTGTCCCCCCAACTACCATACATTAAGTACATTTTATACAGTCCCCCATAGTAATTAACTTATTGGACCATCACAATTAATACCCATTTTTTATTCACAAAATTGTTAAAAAATTAAAAAACTGTTTTGCAAAAACATTTTTGAAAAATAGAATTTTTTTTTTTTAAAGAAATATAAATGCCCATCTCTTGTAAGAGATATTTTTAGTTCTAAATTTGAAGACCCCATTTTTTTTTTTCAATAGAAAAATAATTTTTTTGGTTTAAGTAAAAAAAGAAAATTGAATAAAAAAGATAAATGGAAATTATTTTTACCATATCCGAAGCTCCTTCACCAGCAATTCTAACGAATTGTGACGGCAACAGACTCCTTTTCGACCCAACGCCGTAATCCGACTCTCCGTTACCCAACGACACTACCACGAGATCCTCGACGCCGTTACAAAACGGGAACTCCAGTTTATTATTTAACACGTGCGTAATAGCGGCAGCCGTCGGGTTATTCATCGCAATGCCGCCATCGACGGCCACAATCTTCGTCCTCTGGTCAACGGACTTCATCTCCACGGCCCCAGTCACCGTTGGATTAGCAGCCGTAGCCAAACAAACGTCTCTCATTTTGAAATCATAACCGTCCACTTCCAACGCGTCAGCGCGGGAAAACAAGAACGGCGCGCCCGTGGCGAGATCATAGCACGTGATCAGCACTGGCTTCACTGTATCCTTCAAAGTGTACTCGCCAAAAGTCTTCCGTAACAACTTCTCCACCTTAGCCGACCGGAGACACCGCCGGAGAATCCCACCGGACGATGATCGGAAAATATTCCGGCGATTCTCGATCATAAACTCAAGCGCTTGTTTAGCAGTGAACATTGGAGTACCATCTCTGCCACGTGTAAACAACAAAGCGGCGAGGATTCCTCCGGCTCCGGACCCCGCTACGACATCGAAGTAATCGGAGATACGAGCATTGGGGTTGCCTGATTTTTTGGACAGGAAAGATTCCAAGTGGGCAAGTGATTTCCCGGCAAGTATGCCGTCGGTGGCGCCGCCGCCATCAATGGAAAGGATTCTTACTTTGCCAGTCTTGACGGTTTTGTTATTGATTTTGTTTTGATGTTTGTGTTCTTCATTGTAGCCGAACAAAAACTTGTTTTCGAGAATGGAGAAGATCTCGTAACTGAGCTTGTCCATATCCGTGTTATATTCAGCCATATAATTTCAAATAAAGATGAGAGATGAGAAATGGAAAAGCGAAGCTAAATGAGGTGGAGGAGAAGAGGGTGAGTGAAGATGAAGATGAGAAGGGGGAGTGGAAGTTATTTTATAGTGGGAAGAGTACGAAGAGAGGATGAATATTGTAGACATCAAGGAACATTCCTTGTATGGCGTTTAATCGGCGATTAGAAAGTTAGTGTTGAGAATGCATGCTTTCTTTTTTTTTTTGACTGGCTTTATTTTAATAAAATACAATTTAAAATGTGATAATACATGCTTTATTATATTAATAAAAGGTTTGTTTTGGTTCAATTCTGTTTCCCTCCAATAGAGACATTATGATTAAATAAACGCCTCTATCAATATATATTTTACGATTCATCAACCTTTTTCTCTTTGCGTTGCTTGTACTAAAAATTTAATTACTTATTTAACACTCTTTATTTATTAACAACCAACTTTTGTTTTAATTACATGCAAATCATAGTGTTTTAGTAACATTTAACACTGTATTATCTTATTTTACAGTGTCAATATATTGTGAATAAAGTCTATGATATCATAATAGTCTTACCTCAAACAAATAGCGACGAAGTGTGAGGGAGCTCGGGTGGGAATTGAGACCCACTTTTGGGTAGCTCAAGTGATAGGACGAGCATTAAGATGTGTGGTTAAAACACACAATCTCAGGTTCGAATCTCTTTGACTTTCAAGATTTAAGCAGGTGATAATGATGGTAGGATATTGTATTAGTCACTTAGAGAAGTTAGTCAAGGTATGTGTAAGTTGGTCCGAACGCAATTTAAGAAAAAAGGTGGGAATTGAGAAAAAAAATGAAATTTAAATTATTTTTAGATTTTGTAATTAAATTGAAATTTATAAAATATTATGTAATATTTGAGATTTTTTTTTTCAAAAATATCTCTTAATTCTCCAATTTTGAATACTTTTGTTAGAATTTATTTTAATACCATTTCTTTCTCTTCTCTTCTTTTTCCATTGTTTTCTAAATTCTTAAATTAAAAATAAGATTTTATCTTCTCAACAACTTATCGAATGATGTTGTTTTCATTTCTCTTCATTTAGAATAAACTACACTTAATTTTTTTCGGCTCTCTTGAAAATTAATTCTTGGTTTTGCTCTTGTGTCAATTTAGGTATTAAATTTAATAATTATCAATCACATTTGATGTAAAAATAGACGTGAAAATATTCAAAGATGATGCAGTACTCCCATTATATTTTATAATTTTTTATATTGTAATATATAATTCATGTTATCGACACGAGTACTTATAATATAGAATGTTATATTTATTTTTCATATTTAATGGGCTCAAATTACATGAGGTGTGAGAGAGTAAACAACATGTTCCCACCCAAGATTTAGCAATATCCAAGGATGATACCCCTGGTTTCATAAATCCCAGATTTCCACCTTTAAACTAATAGCAAATCATTTAATGTAACGGTCAAAGAGTAAAGTAGTCATTTGCACTATTGCTCGTCAGTCATCGCCTTTCATTTTTTTTGGTGTGGCTCAAGCTTTTCTGGTCGATTTTGTCACCAGAAATCATCCTCAACACGCATAGTGTGTTGGGTTGGGATGCTGAGTGAGGCATTTCTTCAAACAGGTGGTGGGTGTGATTTGGATATGAGAGGTTATGTTGCTGTGGGTTTTTCGACGACCAGTTTACACACAACAGTCACAACCAAACACAGCAACAGAACCAAAGGTGAAGGAGGAAGGAGGTTAAGCAGTTGAAAGGGGTGGGTCGCAAAATGCGATTGTCGTGCACCAGCGTGTGTAATTTGCAAAGACAAACTATGACTGGGGATAGCAGGTGGGGGTAAGTGTTTTATTGAGGAGATGATGGAGAGTTTGAGTGGTGGTGTCAGTGGTGGTTTCTGGTGTCAAAATAGACCGTAATCTGGCCTAAAAAAGGGGAAAATGTGCAAAGGGGCAGTGGCCGTTGAGTGGCGATTTGAGGGTGCACTAGGTAAGGCAAGTTAGGGGTTTTGTTGAGGAGAGGATAGGGGTTTGAGTGGTGGTGTTAGTGGTGGTTTTCGGTGTCAAAATCGACCAAAATCTAGCCTTAAAAAACGGAAAACGTGTAAAGGGCTAGTGGCCGTCGGGCGGTGATTTAAGGCTGCACCAGGGAAGGAATGTTAGGGGTTTTGTAGTGGGTGATGTAGGGAATCTGATGGAAGTGTTAAGGGGTTAGGTGTAGTGGGTAATGTGGGGAAAACACGTAAAAGGGGATGTGCCAGTGATAGTGAAGAAGAGGAGGGGAGATGAAGAAGAAGAAGGTCTGAAGGTAGTTTTGTAAAAGCATCTCAACTTCTGTGTCAGATGCCATCCGTCACTAATGACGTCCATTCAGGGATGGTAATCTGGAATTTATGAAACCAGGGGTACCAACCTAGGATTTCGCTAAACCTTAGTAGGAATATGTCGTTTACTCGATGTGAGAAACTATTTGTGTCATGTGTAGTCATGACTAATTTATTGTTGATTAAAAATGCTATGAAATTCGCTTATATTATGTTGTATCTTGATAATATTATTAATCACTATTCAATGCACTAGGTAATTTATGATAAGCACATAGTCACATTTATGAATCTTATCTTATACTCAATCCGATATTTTTTTTTATTTTAAAAAAAAAATTGGTCCTTAATATTTAACTCAATACTACATGAATTGTAATGTATAAGTAGCATTTAATGTTGTTCAAAGTCTCTAACGAAATAGTGATATCATATACATGTAATACATATATTTTACTTTGACTTGGAATTATTTTTTTATAAATTTCTAATTCTAATTTTAACTTAGAAAAAGGAAATCATAATCCTATATATTATAGCAGAAATTTCGAAAAACAAATGTATCATTCAAAGGGTTCATTCTAAGCGTGAGCAAAAAAATAGGGTAAACCCTTAACCACAGGTTACCCGACATTGCAGTTTTGGTTCTTACTCGGAACTGATACTATGCGGATAGGTTTCGGTTTCAAATTTAAGGAACTGACACTGTATGGTTTTGGTTCCAATTCCACCATTTTAAGAATTGGAGCCGACTCAAGAACCAACAGCAGATCCGAGAATCGGGTACCTAGTCTGGACCCGGCTTAAGAGCTTGCTCTTAACCTTAACTTTTTTTTTTTCTTCACTTTCTTCAGGTCTGCTCGCCTTCTTCGCCTCTTGGTTCTCTGTACACATTTTCTTTTCTCTGAAACAAAATATAGTGTAAAAAAGCTATTGTGTTTAATAGGAACCGAAACAACTTGCCTGTGTCGTTGACCACATTTGAGCCAGATTCAGTCGTGTTCTACCTCACATCTCTGCTGGTTTTCTCCTTGTTTCAGCCATCGATCATGACTGCTTTGCTTGGGTTTCCTTTTAGTGCTTGTTGGTTGTCGACTGCTCCAAAACTACCCCACCATCACGATCGATTGAGAGATCGCGCTTTCACCATTGTGATCGATCGAGAGATTTAGGAACCTAACTGACAAGTTTCGGTTTCAATTCCTAAGATTTAGGAATGGGTACTATGCGAATAAGTTCCAATTCCTAAATCTCAAGAACCGATACTATGCGATTCCTATTCTGATTCCTAAGATTTGAGTAGGGTATCCAGACCTGCTCACTCCTATTTCATTCTATTCGTTCTTAAAAGATTGTTAAGTCTCAAGCGCTTAATAATTTTTGAAAACTATTAAATATTTTTTGAACTTATCAAATCTCCCATTGAAAGTATAAAAAAAGAACACCTCAAATAAAAAACATTTAATAGTTTTAAAATCGCTTGAATGCTTAAGACTTAATTATCTTTTTAAAACTAATCATTCAAAATGTTAAATCGACAAATTAATAAGATATATACATTATTGTACTATATCGCATTATTTATGTATCGAACTTTAGGTATGTCAAAGAGAAATTTTCTTGCTCGATTGATCTTAAAATAAAATATTTATATAAGAAAATTTTATTAGTTTGCCGCAGGTTGGTTGTGATATGTCCCATGAATCACAAAAAAATTCTCTGGTTATAATATGCATTTCATTTTGTACTTGAAAATGAAAACTGTAGTAAGCAAATTACTTGGACCCATAAAATATTTCATATCATATTCATAAAGCAACTCATAATTAATTTCTTGTACTGAAAAATAATCCTTTAAATAAAAATAAATAAAAAATAAAAAACAGCTGGAGACACCAAATGGATTATGGAAGATCTTTGTTTCTTGTTCACTGAAATTTTCTGAGCATCCAAACAAACATCAAAATATGAATAAATACTTTGTACCTTATAAAAGCTTTGATTGTGATAGTCAGAAACAAAATCCTTGTAGGTCCTTCTAAGATGTGGTGGTTGCTTCTATTTCTCTCTCTTTCTATTTCTTTTGCTTTTTTTTTTTTTATTAATTTTTTTGACGTGTAATTTGTGGTTAATTAATATTTGATTGTGTAAATGTAAAAAGATTAGAAAATTATGACTTAAAATGAACAAAAATCTTTATCTTAGCACTATTTATTTGTTCTAATGTCTATTGATTAAGAATTTCTTCCGGTGAAGGTAGGAGAATAAAATAAAATTAATAAAATCCACATAATTCTTTTCTTACAATTTCTCTATTTTTTTTTTAATAAATACCTTGTAAGCCACTTCAAAACTAAGAAAATCAACAAAAATAATAATTGTGGAAACACAACATAATAATAAAAATACTACGTTTACAATCAAATCTCATAACCCTAACATAGCAGCAGAGTTGACACTACCACATCAATTGACGATTTTAACTAAACACGAACGGTCGTTCCTTAGAGACGAACGATCGTTTCTTAAGGACGAACAACCGTTTATTCGTAAGGAATGACTGTTCCATTTATAAGGAATGATTGTTTTTTCATAAAAAAAATAATCATTCCTTATGAAGAAACGACTGTTCGTCCCTAAGAAATGATTGTTCGTGTTTAGTCAAAGTTATTTAGTGCATTGGGTGTAGTAAGAGATAACGTGACACCAACTCAACTACCACGTTAAGATTGTAAGAGGAGGTTGTGAGATTGAGTTGTAGACGTAATATTACTTAAACAATAATAAGG